CAGCTGAGGCGTAACACAGTTCTTGTTTTGAATACGGCATATTTCGCATACACAGACATGACTATATGTTATTTTAGTGAACAGCAACCCAATTTTGTGATCATTAATCATGAAATCCACTCACTTGGCAGCGAGCAGCGAGCAGCGACTGTAGCAATGACCCATTGAGGCGGCGATTGCGCATGAGCGCGTAAACAAGCATAAATTAATACGGCAACTAATTTAATTAGCCATAAATCAACGAGTTTATTAAACAGTAGCCCCAATCATGCCAAATGTATACAGCAATAAACTGCCGCAAATTGGCTAATGCAAACGGCGACCCCAAAGTAATGCCCCATGTGATTATTTATCTTATACTGCGTGCCGCCCACAAACCTCGTCATTTCCCGATCTGCCCGGCCCCGCTCGTCTGTGCATGCACATTAAAAATCAGTTAAATTCAAATACGCCACAGACGCCCAAACATACACACATACGAAACGCTCATAAACAATTTTCATGCATTTAGTCGGTCAGTTGGCACAGTCCAGGGACCATGGACCAGGGACCAGAGACCAGATACCCGAGGCCAGGGACCAGAGACTGTAGAGGAGGGATCTGTGGTCTGGGGACTGGAGACTTCATGCTGCGACTGTGTGGCCGCCGAATTGGCAGAGTCTGTCCAGTCCGTCGACTCTGTGCTGCGACCAAAGGCATTTGACACATGAATTTCAAACATTTATGGTTATTATAAAGCATTTAAGATTATTATGATGCCATGGGCCATCTGTTACAATCGAATGTATTAGTATTTGCTATTTGTTGGCTGCTGTCGGGTTTTAGCTATTCAGACACTTAGTCTTTGAGTTACAAGTTTTCCCAAAAGAGTGCTTGGATCTCACATTAGTGTAATTAATATAATTCATATAAACCAGTATACGCTTCTTATTGATATTGATATTGCATGATATTCGATTTTCATGGAACCTTCAGCTTAGATACCTAGACTTATTTATGCTTTATTTAAGAAAAACAATTCATACATTAACACGAAGAGAGGTATAAAATGAAAGATACTTGATATATATATATATACTATTCTAGAAGCTTCATGTTAAGTTTGTTGACTCTAGCTCATATTATTTGCCGAAATTGCTCAAAAAACAGGATTTCGATATCGATTTTTATCGATTACTTGGAAACGGGGCAAGTTATCGAATATCAGAAACAAACTGCGCGGGCACTGGGAGGACCTACAGCTAAAATTTCAAGTCTCTAGCTCTTATTCTTCATGGGGTCGGAGATGCTTCCTTCTGCCTGTTGCATACATTTGCATTGATCAACTGTCTATGAACTCATTATAGGAATTTTAGGAAATATTTACATTTATTGGATCAATCGGCCTGAACATATTCGTTTGTATTTATTCGGTATCTTAATAGAAAATTTTAGTTGCTTCTATGGAAAACAAAAAGTGAATTGACTAATTAGTAAAACCGTCAGTAATATGTTTTGTCAGCACGATCTGAATGTTAGTAATATATTATGAATTTCCAGTTTTCCCATTGCCGAAAACGAAACGGAATTCAAAGTCTTGGCTTGACTTGACAAATAAGTTACGCTTAATTTTGTGGCAAAGCGTTTATAAACCGAAACACGCAACACATTTAGACAGCGCAGCACCTAAAGCGAAACCATTAAAAACGCCACTCTGATAAAAAATTCAAAGACCGACCAGACCAAAACCAAAACCAAAAGCAAAACCAAACCGAAACCAAACGAAATCCGAACCCTGGCAAACTGAGTGAGTGCCATAAACTTTGAATTTTACGACGCTGTGTGGTCTCATTTGACATATTGTGGGCTTTACGATTCCAAAATTAATGACACCAAATCAGGTAACGGGCGCTTCGATTTGGGGGCGCCCTGGCAGTCGGCTCTGTCGCTTTTTGGCGGCTTCACTGGCCCCACTTGGCTGGCTATATATTGGGCTTGGTTGGCTGGTGCCATACCGGTTTTGTGTATTTTAAACGACATTCTCATCAGTTAATAAGACACATACCCATTTTATGGCATTAAACGACGACAAGTGAAACATAAAATATATATTTACTTCATTTTTATGCGCTTGCGAGGCAACCAGGCAACGAGGCAATTTGCAATGCAAATGATCAACGCGTTTGCTTAGTTCGGCTTTCAAATTCTGGCAATATTTGAGAGGCAGGCAGTCGTCTACTTAAAAACAAATTCATTGAAGCGTCGCAAAACTTTTAGGTTTCGCCAGTTAAAATAAATCGCAATCAGCTTTATTTACGATCCGAGCAACTTAACGTTCTTTGGAGCTTTAATAAAATAATTTACATTTTAGTTGAGCACATAAATTAACTGGAAAGTGTCCAACAATGAATTTATGATAAAACCGCATTTAACGCCATGCACATTTTCGGACTAGCTAATTTAATGTCACACTCAAACCGATCGCAATTATTCGATAAGCCGGCAACAAGTGCTAATTGCGTTTGAGTTAATATTTATTGATTTTTAATAAAAGCAAGCGATTTACTTTCGAATTCATTAATATTGTCAAATTATATGCCTATATTATATTTGTGTATTTATATGTTTTCTTTTGTGCATATGCATATAAAATCATATAAAATTCAATAGATTTATATTTCCTGCCAAATTTACGCAATGCATAAAATTGGCTTTTAAATGCCTTTGCGTTGATTTATGACTTAATAACTTTATTGAACTCATTTGAAAATTTCGAGATACAAATAGCATTATAAAATTATATAAAATAAGATCAGTAAAAATACTCTGTCTCGACTAGAAGATACACTATGGTCAGCTCTACACTCTCAAAAAATATTTATAAAATATTTATATTCAATGTAGAGATTGAAAATTAAGTTTTACGCTGGCCAGAAAAAGCTTTAATTTTTCACATTTTCCTTTCTCATAAAGCAGGATATTAAGCAATGAAATCATATAAGTGTTTCCCACAGTTTCTGGTGAGATGTTTTTAAAACCTCACTTAATTGTTCTTATAACTACATTAAACTGTTGAACATACTTATATCTCTTTATGGAAAACGATTAACTCATATTCGTGGTTACTTCGTGCAAAACAATTGTATGAAACATATTTGTGGAATTGGGAGTAAAATATTTGGTGGCTGAGGTTTCAAGTTCAATTCCTTATCCAAGTAGATTCAAGTTGCGTCCAATTGGCTTTAAGTATATTTTCAAATAAGACATACATAAGATCTTAATGATCATGTGTCTTCGCGAGTTTGTTAATTCCAACCGCAAGCGAAAAAAATTGGCTGATAACAATTGTATGCAACTTATCTGTTTACCATATGATCGGTGTCTAACGCATTTTTAAATCTTTCTGAACGTCATTTGAGACGTGTTTCAAATTTTTCAGAAACTTTATTTCTCCTGGCTGCAAGCTTTAGATAATTGGACTTCAAAGACAAATGTTGTTCCAAGTTCTTCAAACTCATTTTAAAATATCTATTTTAAATTTAAACTGTGATAGTACAAGTAAATTTAAATTTTCCTCAGGCCGAATAAAACTCTATAATTATGCAATTAAACAAATTGAATCACAGAGTTGTGGAAAATGTGAACAATATGCGGCTCGAAAATAAAGCATCGTTGCAAGCTCAACAATTGAATTGGATTTTATTTATTACTGCAACTATGAGGCGTATGCTTCCTTTACTGTCGAGCTTTTCATTTGAAGTTCTAAAGATGATTTGATTTGCTGTGGGACATTTTCGGACTACTCGTCTGATATCCATAAATCAGGGCTTATTTCTCTTGTGTTTACGTGTGGGTATTGTGTCTGTGTGTGTGTGTGTGTGTGTGTGTTTCTGGGTGTGAGTATTTGCTATTTCTACCCCTATAGCCTACAATTTGTTCAGCGGACAGGCTGCATCCTTGCGTTATCCTGTTGCCCCGTTCTCCTTGTTGCTATATTACAAATGACTGTGGAATATTTATAAGCATCATAAATTTAATTTATGTCGCCACTGCGCCCGCCGCGTTTATTGTGCGCATAATAAACGCTCTTCTCCATTTCGCACAGCCTCCCCTCCCCGCCCCGCTCCTTCCCTTCCCTTCCCTTCCCTTCCTGCTCCTCACAGTTATCCGGCTATTGAAGTAATTTATTATTTTTATACGTTTCGTGTTTGTGCGTGTGTTTGTATGTATATATTTGTGTGGCACGCATTTTATACATTATACATAAAATATAGTGCGAAAATTGCAGTTGCTATTATTTTTATTTATTATGGCATTTTTTTGCTTCGCGCAATGTGAATTTGTGTGGTAAGTGATAAAAATGTTTTTTTTTTTTGTTTTGTTTTATAGTTCACTGTTGCTAATAGGGGTTGTTTTCTGGGTTTGGGGAGCAGTAAATTATGTTGGAATTAGTAGAATTCTTGATTTCTGTATCTCGTTCAACTTTCAGAAATTCATTTGGTAATCATATGAACTAAATGGGGTTATGGCATTTATTAAAAACTTAATATTCGTGTTTGCAAATATTACTAAATTATATTGAAGTGCCAAATATTTTCAATATCCACGTGAAAGAGCGCGGGCGTGGAAAACAATGTTTGTTTTTTTAAATTGTTAAAGTAATTGTTTAATTTTATTTAATTTGTGATATTTCTAACGAAATTGCGTTATTCAGTTTTGTCTTGAATACAAGCAAATAATTATAATATTATTAAAGATATTTTGAAAATCAGGACAATTTCACCATTCCCATTCTTCAAGCTATATGATATACCAGTTCAATTTTGATTAGAACAAATAAGAGCTAGAGATTTGAAATTTTGAACGTAGTTCTTCCTTACCCCGTTTCCAAGCAATAGTAAAATGCCAGATATTCACTTTGGAAAAAGATTGCAGTATTTATTGGGGGATAACAATAATATTTGGTACTATATTCAAGATGAGATCACAGCGATCCATCGAGTTTTGTTTTGTTTTGTTATTTAATGATAGCTGTGCTCGTGTCCACCATAAGAATGTTCATATCCTGCATCGTATCCAGCATCGTGTCCACCATCGTGTCCGTGTCCGTGACCGTGCTCTTGCTTCAAGGTAAAGCCGTGAGAGCTAGAGCCATGGTGACCGCCTTCATGGCCGTGAGAATGGAAATCCTCATGACCATGGCCGGAGTAGCCAGAATGGCCGGAATCGGAGTGTTCCTCGAAGTCAACCTTTCCGCCAGTATAGCCGCTGTGTCCATGTGCCTGGTGTGCTGGCACGAAATGATGCAGCTTCTCGCGGTGGACCTGGGCCTCGAAGCCCTTGTGCTTGTCAGCCGTGTAGTGGACAGTACGCTTGTGACCATCGGCATCGATCAACTCATAGTGTCCAGTCACCTTGTGGCCATCACGAATTTCGCTGTGCTCTTTGACATCGCCCGTCTTGTGATCCTTGACTCCATAGTTGAAATTGTATTCGGCATGGGAGTCATGGTGATCGTCCTGGTGCTCGTGATGGTGGTGGCCTCCTCCCTCATGGTGGTCGTCGTGGGACACCAAGTGCACCGAAGCGTGACTGGTGGCTCCACCATGATGAGGAGCGGCTCGGACGACCACACAGGCCAGCAAGGCACATGCTGCGAAAATCTACAAAAAGGATCAATTAGTTGAAAGATTTGCGCAGCTCGCAATTTTGGCTTACCTTAAGGGCCATGGTGCTGCTGCAGATTAATGAGTTGATCTTGCTAGGCGTTGTTTGAACTCTAAACCCAAGCGAACTGTGTTTGAACTTAGCTCAAGCGTTCGTATTTATAGTCAGAGATTAGCGCGTTTTGAACTTACTTTCGAATTTAGATTTGGTCACGCCCATTTCGGTTCAAGTTCGTAAATGTTGCAGAGCGTTTACTTTCGCTCCGACAATTACCGGCGCGTTTGGCAAGGCTTTTTATTAATTTAAATTAAATCCACGGATAGTAATTCATTCGAAAATTTATTGTCTCATCGATAGCCAATTTAAAATGACATTGTTTATGGCCGCCCGTACCCGTCGTCGCCATCGTCGTCGTCGTCGTCGTCGGCATAATCCCTGAAAGCTGAGCCTGATACGAAGAAGAGGCAACAAACGAGCTTCAAGATTTATGTGCCAGCCTTTCGTCGAGTCGTTGACGTCAATCAGCCTGACAAAAAGTCATCAGAATAGCTGTGTGGACCCTGTCTCCCCAATGATCGAACCCCGTCGCCGCTCTGCCAGATCTCGCTGGCTGCCTCAGTAGCTGCTGGCTGTCAGAAGTCAATCGGCTGCCGTCTGTCAATGTCGTGTCGCCTTCATCAAAGGCGAAACTCGTCGAGCGTCGAGTTGGCAATGGAATTGAATGTGTACGTAATCCAAAGACTCGCCACATTGAGGGAGCTGTCATCCCCCATACAATTTGCATTTGATGCCAAAATTGGCTGCCAATGTACAATTCTCTTACAATACATTTCACTTCTAACGTCGATGCTACCTACGGAATATTGCCAAAATATCTGCTTTAATTTAAAAACAGGGTGTAACCGACTGCTCAATAATCTTTTCTCAGCGCTTAGCCAGCTTAAAACATGGGAGAAACATTCGAAATGTTCCATATTCCATGTCTAGTGGGCGTGCCAAAATAACTTTGGTCTATCTTTTGAAATGGCCATCAACCTGCAAGCTTTCACTTTGTGTATCTCAAGTTAGTATTTCTAGTTAAGTATATAACAAGGGTACTCCCCAAATAACTTATTGGGAAAAAAACAAAATTAGAATTAGAATTAAGAGAAGCAAAAAGAACCAATTAATAATGGGTGAAAAGGGTATAATAGTTTTGTGCCAATGTATGTAACAGACAGAAGGAAGCGTCTCTGACGCCATAAACTATATATATTCTTGATCAACAGCCGAGTCGATCATTCCATTTCCTTCTGTTCGTCTGACCTCTAAGAGCTAGAGACATGCAATATTAGGTCTTCCCAATGCCCACGCCGGACGAGCTGCTTTCCGATAATCAAATAACGTTTCCCGCTTTCAGGCATTCGATAACAATTGATATCGAAATCCTGTAGTCGCCAAATTTGACATGTAGGTTTAGACTAGCATAGAGCAGGCTTTTATAGCTACTTGTTTTGATAGCTTGAAAGGAAGTTTACTGATAGCAAAATACAGGATATTCCCAGTTGTGCCGTCTATTTTATAATGTTGTTGATGTTAGCTTGATTCTGCTTGGATTGGTTGTTGTTATATGGCCTAGATTATTTGATAATGCAACAAGATTATTAAATGATTTGCAAATTCTATTTGCAATTGCGTAAGGTTTATTCTTGATGTTAGCTCGGGAAGCTCTACTGTCGTAATCTGAAGCTAACCTTCAATTGGTCCCTTGCTGTGGCCATCATCGCAGTCCCAGTCCGGCCAGTCCAATGTTGGTTGTTGCTGTTGCCTTTGCTGTTTCGCTGGTCGGTAAGTTGGTAGGTAGCTTGGCTTGGTAGTTTGCCGTCAGTGTCATTCTGGCTGCGTTTTGTGGGCACATTTCGGCTGCTTGATTACTCATGTCAATCAGGATTCCAAACAGCGACGACATGCTGTCAATCCTTGTGTCATGGCCGCTGAAGTTGTTGCCATTGGAGTTGGACAGCAAGTACGCTTTATAGTGCGGCCCAAAACGGAGGAAATCGAGACGAAACGAAGCGAATTGAAATGAAATGAAAGGAAAAATGCTGATGCCACAAAGGTGCGCAGTGCCTGTGCTGTGGCAGTGCCAGTACCTTATGTTGTTGTTGCTACAGCTGCTGCTGCTGCTGCTGTTGTTGTTATTGTTATTGTTGCAGTTGGATTGATGTGCATTGTATGTAAATTGGGCGGTCGTTTTCGCATTTGATGCCCTGTCAAGGGATAATCAACAGCAGAAGCAGTAGCATCAGCCCAACTGACAGGACAGGCAGGACATCAACATCCACGAATGCAACAAAGCCAACAACGGCAACAACGGCAACAACGGCAACAACTGCAACAACGGCAACAACTGCAACTCATTATGCAGACGCATAAAAATGTTGCGTTCCCCTTGCGATGATTCGCTGTTTCGATTGATGGAAGGTCGGTTGTCTGGTTGATTGCTGGTACTTCTATAACGAGCGTTAAGAAATACTGCGCCAATGTACGATAATTTGCAACGAGAATTTCTGTGACAGCCCCCGCACTTTAATCGGCTCCTATCCGCAGTCGAGTCACATAAATTTTTCCCTCCTGACATTTTGCGAACGTTTCAGAATTGAAAACGATGTTCAACTTGTTGACAGATATTCGTTTGACAGACCGTCAACTGTCATTGCGAGCGGCGTAAACGTTAACTGAAAACCACCGCAAAGGGCCAACCGGCAATTCTCTTCATCCTGTGTTTCACAATTTTCCTTCGCATCATCATTATCATTGTGAGGGGCTCTGTTTTTGGACATCCTTAATTTAATTTACTGCATTACTTTGGCTTGCATTTTCAGCTTGCATAGATCCTCTGATCATCCAGTCCAGTATATCTCGGGTAATGTAGGATTTTAATATTTTCAAGTGACGTTCTTTTTTGAAAGATCTCTTCAAGAAATACAAACGCAACGTTTAAAATTAAAACCTCTCTAATAGTGCGATGCGGTGAGGTATTGTCGTTACCTTTGTTATTTACGGGCAGGTGGCCTTTTTTTTTTATTTTCTCTCTTTATTAGCTAATTTATTGATACTATACATGAGCATCTTAACCTAGCTTGACTATAATGGGATAGACATACTTAATATTACCTATTAAGTTTTATAATTATTCAATTTATCTTATATTTTAGTATGATTATTATTATTTTTATTTATTTTTTTTTTTTTTTTTTTTTCAAATGATTACCTGGTTTGGGAGGTCGATGGGGTGGATTCTGCGAAGTCTCCGTCGCTTTCTTCTGAAAAGTCTTCTAGCCAATATATTGGGGTGGGCAGAAAGACGGGCCATGTAGCTGGTGGACTGCTGACGTAGAAGGTCGCCCACCAAGGGGACCTTTAGGTCTCTTGCTAGGGCCCGGTTGCGGATGTACCAGGGAGCCCCAGCACTCAGTCTGAGTACCTTCGCTTGGAAGACACTTATTTTCCTCAAGTGGGATTTTGCTGCCGTGCCGAAAATTTGGCTTGCATAGCGCCAGACTGGGGCCAGGAGGGTTTTATAAAGCAGCACCTTATTGCTCAGAGAAAGCTTGCTGCTTGCCTTAAGGAGCCAAAACCATACTTTTTAGTTTTTGACGTACGCTGTGGCATGTTGTTGCGATGTGTTTGCTCCAAGTGAGCCTGCGATCAAGGTAGAAGGCAGGTGGCCAAATTACTATCCCAAGATATTGGAGTTTATAAGAGGTATTCAAGAAAGCGTGCGTACGTATCTTTTAAAGATAGCCTGTCCTATGCTCGGTATTTGCTAGTCGTGCGCGCCCGTCTTGAGCACCTTTCGTTGTTTTATTATGCCATAATCGAAATAACTTAATTAAAGTGAAAATTTTATGGTTCCTGAGATAAAGTTACAAAGCATGGAATTTTATTGAAGTCGTTCACCTAATGCACTATTCATCTATGCAAGCTAGAGCTGAGTTCACATTTTTTAGGAGTCGAATGGAACAGTTAGGACAATAAATTATCACCATGCGCGACAGGTAAAAAATGCTGTAAGAAATTGCAGCCATTGCAATTGAACAACAAGAGTAAAGGAACAAGTTGGAGTGCTCTCGTTGAGTTTGCTCAACAAGAAGATACCCTGTAATCTGGCGAGCATAATAATAATTTCCATACACAAAATGAACAAAATCGTTGCTGTATGCCTATTTGTTATCAGAGAAAGTTTCGAAGTTTCAAGTTACCATCTCTTAATAAGGAATCTATATATTTTGGTATTGAATAGCTTTTAAGCTGCACAGTTCGTTAACTGCCTCTTGTCGGCTTTGAATGGACACAGGGTATAAAAACGAGTCTCCCATTAAGTTTGCTGTAATCGGTAATTGAGAGAAATAAAGTAAGTGGCTCGAGAGAGAGCCACAGAGCTGGGCTCTAAGGTACCAGTGCCAGCAAGGTGTTTTAGTGTTGTGTGCCATGGGGGTCTCTCCGGACGGAGGGTATCCAGCTGCCCGCCCGATGCCCAAGTGTTGACAATCCTCGTCAATTACGTTGTAATGCGTCTGTGGCAGAGACTGCAGCATCGTCGCAGCGTTCCACAGTTGGCATTGACGCATTGCTTGACACATTATGATGCTTGATTTGTTGTCATGGCAATTTTGCCACCATTCGTAGTCGCATTTGCGCGTCCTCAAATGGCATCGCTTCCAATCTCGACCGACGTGCAATGTGCATTTTTCACTATGGACAAATGAGTTTGTCGCGGCCTTTTTGCGTTATAATTAGAGTTTTTTGCTCGGACTGTGCAAATACTTTACAACATTGCTGGCCTTTCCAGTTATTAATGGCCAGCCTTGCACATGTTAGTATTTAACGTGTTTATCGCAATCGCAAATTGTTGCATTTTGCTGACATTTTTGCCATCTCTTAAAAGGGAACTTCAAGGAGCTCACTAAAGATTTGAAATACTACAAAAATATTGAAACAT